CTGTAAATCTCAAGGTTAGCATAATTTTACCAATTTATGATAATTATCTTGTGCACTGTTAATTAGCCCCCTCCCCAAAAAGGCAAAGAGAAATATGCTATTTTGAGGAACTGCTAATTTAGGTGCCTTTCCAGTGTTATTATTGATCAGATAATGGAGACTATATCAGCCTAAGGATCCGCACAGTGAACAGACTGTCAGAAACTGTCTTGTGATCAGACTGATGTCATCCTTAAATACCTTTTCATGCCCACCCATCATCCAGTTGCCTTTAAAAAAAAGAGCTGGAGACTCCCAAAACCCATTTATCACTCTCAAGATGGCCTGAATTCTCTCTTGAAGTATATTCTTGGCTTTCCTAAATAGATCTCTGTGTCTCTAGGGACACATGCTGAAATTCTTTTCTATCATGTTTGTCAAGGATCCCCTGATCCTGGGTCAAATACTCCTCACTCTCCAAGGAACTCCTTGCTACTCTCTCCTGGAGATAATCTTTTCTCTGGTGATTCAGGGAAACTATCTCTCGACTGGCATTGGCTGCAATGGCTGGGTAAAATGCATGACCACCACGGAGCACTGCACACAGTGTTATATAGGTACTGGCAAATGCCAAGTGATGTGTGGGAATTACAAAAACAAGTTAGGAGAATAGAAACAGAATAAGATAAGAGGACTGTTTATTTACATAATTTTAAAATATAAGCACATAAAGGTTCTACAAGTACACACAGAAACAAAGCCATATAAATCAAACACATTAGACTGGCTACCTATTTAGGAAGTGGAAATTGCAGCCAAAGACCTATTCAGTCTAACTGTTCCCTGAGTGTGTTAAAGGCAGGGGACATGGTCCCCAACTGGATGCAGGGTCAAGCACTTGGGAGCAGAAAGTGGGCTCAGCAGCCAGAGCCTCAGAAGCAGGAACCAGGTAAATAAAAAGCCACCCTCTGGGAAACCATCGAGACCCACGGATAGTTATCTTCCTTATAGACCATGGGCAAGAATATCACCTCTGTGAGGACCTTCAGTTTTGTGCTTTGAGGAGATTTCATAAGGCACTCAATGAGTAAATATTAAGAATAGTTAGACAATGGGATTTAGGAAAGATGGTGGAGGGGAGGCAGGTGGTGGTTTGTGCCAGACTGTCAGAACCAGATAAACTGACAGATCCAAATTCAAACCTTCTCTTCTCTTTGTCCCCCAGGGCATATGGAACTGACCTTTAGAGAGTGCTTACTGTGAGCCACAGGAGGATAGGGCCTTTGACATTTATTCTCAGGTACTTCTCACAGAAACCTTACACGGTAGGGATTATCATTTCTGTTTTAACAGTTGAGGAACACAGAGGCTCAGTGAAGTAACTAGGCTAATGTATACCATTGGTGCAGCCTCTGTCTTCCACATTCCTCATGGATCTGCTAAGACAGCCACACCAACTAGCAAAGTCTGTCACCCTTCCCCTAGTGTTCAGCCAAGTAGCTGAGTCCATGGGATCCCCAGGCTTGCCCTGAGGCCTCCACAGCTGTCAGAACTATTCCAGCTGCTCGCAGATCTAGAAAGCCTACATCATCCTGGAGGATCTTGCTCTAGGGCACTTCTGGGACTAAGCTAGATTCCAGGGGCTTTATATTCCACAACCTCCAGTCCTCAGATGTGGCTTCTCTAAACCAGATCCCATGTACAGGAAACTGAAAATGCCCTTCATAGCCGTTTTCCACCCTGAAACTTCAGTCTCTTGATAATTGAGACATAGCAGGTGGCTACAATGGAGAAATGTTTGTAGCAGAATACAACAAATTCCCTGAAGGTTATTATAATATAGCAAGATAACAGTAAAAACAAAATAAACAAACAAAAAACAACAACTCAAAGATGGAATACAGCAGAGCTGTATCATATGATGTAGCAATACAAGAACTGGGATTTTGCTGGGTATGGTGGTGAATGCCTGTAATCTTGGAGGCTCAGGAAAGTGAGGCAGGAATATTGCAAAGTTCAAAGCCAGCCTCAGCAACTGAGTGAGGACCTAAGCAATTTATCGGGACCCCTAGGTCTCAAAATAAAAAGGGCTGGGGTTGTGGCTCAGTGGCTAAGCACCCCTGGGTTCAATCTCTGGTATAAAAAAGAAAAAGAAAAAAAGAAAAGAACTGGGATTTAATGCAATTCAAATCATGTTTATCAAACATCCATAAACTGTGCAGAGTAAGTCCTGATGGAAAGCTATCAGAAACATGACCATGAACCTTGCCATTCAACCTCCTCCCCACTTTACTCCCTGCCAATGTTGTATAAGGAGTCTATTTTCCTCAGGCCCCAGTCCAATTACTTTGAACAATATTGAAAGAAAGTAATTTCATTCCACAAAAAGTATTTTAAACTTTCACAAAGGAGATGGGATGCAACTTGTAGCAGATCACTCTAGATTCACCTGTCTTGTCATCAACATTTGATATGACGATCAACATCATGAGCTCAATATGGTTTAAAGAGTGAAATATTATTATTAGGAAAACTAGGAAGCCTTCAATTTTTTTTTTTTCACCAGAGGGAGCTTACACAACTGAGGAGGAAAAAGTTGTTTTCTGTGATTGATGTGTGAAATCAAAATAAACTCATTTAAGGTTTATTCTACTCCTCTGGAAGGAAGTGGAGACTTAAACTAGTAACAATTCAATTATATAAACATTTAAGTTGGCATTATTGTTTGCAAAGCATCTGGAAGATCTGGCTGTGGAAATAGAAAGACAAAGAGACCAGAGAGTTCTTGACAAAGATGCTGGTGAGCACCCCACTCCCAACTCTGGAAATTTAGGGACCTGTTTGAATGGCTACAGCATTGGGTATCCCTAATAATCTCTAAACCAACAATCAGAACAAAGGGAACTCTTTCCCCTTCCCTCATCTCTCCAAAATAAGCTTTCTTCTTGGGGTGGGGGTATGACTAAACAACTATGCCCTCTATCATCTTTTCCTATCCTCCCTTTTCCAAGTATCCAGAAGTTCTCCTGACCTCTGAGCTCTTCTTGTGTAAAGTGTACTTACTGTCAGCCTTCTGCGTCCCAGCCACACCTTCCCTTCCCTTCCATACATGACTTGACAAATTCCTGGGAATTTTGCTCTGTTCTTCCTCTTCCAAAACTCTTAAGTTGTCTTGTTCCTAGCTTGTTGTTTGTTTTTAACAGTGTGGTGGAATTCTTTCATTGTAGACTAACATGAGGTTAAACTTGGCCCATGGCTTGATTTAAAACAGCCATCACCATACATACATCTCAGTTACCTGTATCTATTACTGTGTAACCCCCTTCCTGTCCCTTTTTCTAGAATTTGGCTCAACAAACACAGCATCACATTTTACAAAATATTTGGGAGGGTGGACTAAACTCTTTACATGTTTTGAGAGCCACTTGTCTCTTAAGTTGGGCTCTCTTCCTAAATCTCTGTTGTCAAACTGATTTTATTAAAATCTCAAAGAGTTTCAGCATTTTGGTCCTCTCTTAAGTTTCTTTCTTTTGAACCTACACTGCAGTGTCTGGTAAATAACAAACATTCCTAGAGACTATACTCTATACAGACAATGCTTTGAGGCTGTAGGCTGAGACACAGGGAGTGTCACAGAGAAAGTAGCTGAGCCGGAAATCTACTCAAGGCTGTGAGTTTATTATGCTCAAGCTTCAGGGTCAAAGGACCCGGTGTCCATTCTTATTATTTTCCTCTTGGTGCCGGTGACCTGCATCATTTACTTAGCTTTGACTCTCAGCTTCCCTTTCAATAAAATTGAGATAAGGCATTATTTGGAAAATTCAGCAGTAAATGAGAGAAATGCATGAGGGCCCTATTCAGCCCTTAGTCCTCAACAACTGTCAAAACCCTACAGGCAGAGAGGGATCCCGCTCCTGTAAATAACCCCATCTCATACTGAGGGCCCAAACATCAGTTTAAGACTTTTAAGTCTGAAGTCTTATACCCAATCTACACACTGGTCGGAGTCTAACTCTTGCCACGCAGTGCCACCGGCTCCTTGTCCATCTGGCAACTGGGTCTGGGACTCCTAACCTGGGAGCTCTTACCATGGCATCGTAGCGCAGAGCGTTCATAAAGTGCGCCACTTCGGAGCCCTTGTACACAGTAAACCAGATGGTGCCCTGGTACTGGTCGCCGGCGTCCAGCAATAGCACGTTGGGTTCCGTTTGGCGGATCTGCTGCACCTTGGTGAAGAGCCTCGCCACACCGCCCACACAAAGGCTGGCGTTGCGGCACTTGCCGGAGTCCTTGCTGGTCTGCTCCAGCCGGCTGTGCACGTCGTTGGTGTGCAGGATGGTGAGCTCCCAGGCGCCAGCTACGGGCCACAGCAGTGCGTCCAGCGCCAGGAGCAGCAGCACAGACGC